CCTTTTATGAGACGGAACACGTTGGATTGTTTACATTTGTCAGAGAGAATTTCTCTGCAAATATGCCGGGATTACTGGATAATACCACCTGTTAAATGTTGCACTGATACGGTAAAGACGACTTACCCCTGATCTGTGGCATAAATATGGCCAATAATTGGGAAATAAACGCCAATGATTGAATGAATCTTTTATTTTCTGGAAACAAGTATTTCTTCAAAACTATTTCAGTGAAACAATATCCAAGAAAACAAGCCAACAGTGAGGCTGATGTCCCCCGCCGAAATAGGAAAATAATTAGAGAGTTATTGTGTTCCAAAGTCTCAGCAAATCAAATTGCTTATCGCTCTGCTTAATCTGAGCAGAAAATGCTCATTATCGATCTTAGTCAAGGTATTACTGTAATGAAACTATACACCAAGTTTCATCACTCTCACTTAATTAGAACTAAAGTTATAGTGTCCCAAAGCATCAACCAATCAAATTGTTTATCTCTGCTTACCCTAAGCGGAACGGACAGACAAACAGACAGACGGACGAACCCATTTTAATAGTTCCCTGCTTTCTTCGAAAGGCGGGGGACAATAAGCATGAACATTTACTCAATTCGAAGATCAACCAATCAAATTGTTTATCTCTGCTTACCATAAGCGGAACGGACAGACAGACAAACAGACAGACGGACGAACCCATTTTAATAGTTCCCTGCTTTCTTCGAAAGGCGGGGGACAATCAAAGTAGGAGAGTTATTGTTTTCCAAAGTCTCGACCAATCAAATTGCGTATCGCTCTGCTTACCCTGAGCAGAAAATGCTCATTATCAAACTTAGTCAAGGTATTACTGTAATGAAACTATACACCAAGTTTCATCAATCTCACTTAATTAGAACTAAAGTTATCGTGTCCCAAAGCATCAACCAATCAAATTGCTTATCTCTGCTTACCCTAAGCTGAAAATGCTCATCTTCGAACTCCATCAAGGCATTGACCTAATCAACACATACACCAAGTTTGAACATTCTAGCTCAATTAGGAAGAGAGTTATCGTGCCCCAAAGTATCAACCAATCAAATTGCTTATCTCTGCTTACCCTAAGCGGAAAATGCTCATCTTCGAACTCCATCAAGGCATTGACCTAATAAACACATACACCAAGTTTGAACATTCTAGCTCAATTAAAAGTTATCGTGTCCCAAAGCATCAACCAATCAAATTGCTTATCTCTGCTTACCCTAAGCGGAAAATGCTCATCTTCGAACTCCATCAAGGCATTGACCTAATCAACACATACACCAAGTTTGAACATTCTAGCCCAATTAGGAAGAGAGTTATCGTGTCCCAAAGCATCAACCAATCAAATTGCTTATCTCTGCTTACCCTAAGCGGAAAATGCTCATCTTCGAACTCCATCAAGGCACTGACCTAATAAACACATACACCAAGTTTGAACATTCTAGCTCAATTAGGAAGAGAGTTATTGTGTCCCAAAAAGTGTGACGGACAGACAGACGGACAGACAGACGGACAGACAGACAGACAGACAGACAGACAGACAGACAGACAGACGGACGAACCCATTTTAATAGTCCCCTGCTTTCTTCGAAAGGCGGGGGACAAATATATACTTAATACAGATGAAAACGATTTTGGTATGCTTGAAATACTGGTTTGGTCTTATAGTTATATATAATGTTAAGAAAAAACAAAAATAATAATACCATGTGATCTGATCGATACAATTAATAATAATTCACCTTCATCAATTTTACTATTTTTTTAAAAAAGAAAACAATAGAGTTATTATAAGAGTATAGAGAGAGAGAAATGGGGTTTAACTTCCACACTGTACAAAATTGAAAGGCAGATTTTGCCTGGGCACAGCACTATGGCCTACGTTTATATCGAATTACAACTGCCAAGGGATCTTTTTAAGTGCACACCAATGTATACACATTACCTCGATTAGACTGCTGTCCTTGTGCCTTGTCAGCCCCTCCGCCTGCACCACTGACAAGGGGAAACCGTTGGAAATGAATTAGAATAAACAAGCCAACAGTGAGGCTGATGTCCCCCACCGAAATCCCCAAATAAATAGATGACACATATTAAAAGTATCGAGCAATCAAACTGATTAATTAATCGCACATCTATTTTTTTTCAAAAGTATCGAGCAATCAAACTGATTATCAACTATACACTAAGTTTCATCACTCTCTATCAGATAGAATCAAAGTTATCTTGTCCCAAAGCATCGACCAAGGAAATTGCTTATCTCTGCTTAGCTTTAGCTCGATATGTTAATCATTGAACTCAGTCAAGACGAACATCTACATCAAGTTTAAACATTCTACCTCAATTAGAAGGAGAGTTGTTATGTTCCAAATTCTTGACCAATCAAAATGCTTATTGCTCCTTAGCCTAAGCAGACAATACTCATCATCGAACTTAGTCAAGGTATTGATGTAATGAAACTATACACCAAGTTTCATCACTCTCACTTAATTAGAACTAAAGTTATCGTGTCCCAAAGCATCAACCATTCAAATTGCTTATCTCTACTTACCCTAAGCAGAAAATGCTCATCTTCACACTCCATCAAGGCATTGACCTAATAAACACCTACACCAAGTTTGAACATTTTAGCTCAATTAGAATGAGAATTATTGTGTTCCAAAGTCTCGGCCAATCAAATTGCTTATCGCTCTGCTTACCCTGAGCAGAAAATGCTCATTATCGAACTTATTCAAGGTATTGATGTAATGAAACTATACACCAAGTTTCATCACTCTCACTTAATTAGAACTAAAGTTATCGTGTCCCAAAGCATCAACCAATCAAATTGCTTATCTCTGCTTACCCTGCTTACCCTAAGCAGAAAATGCTCATCTTCGAACTCCATCAAGTACTGCACATTGTATTTCACCTCAATAATGATGACACAGTCTTTACCATAGTGGTCTTCTGTCTTTGACTGAGTGGACTTCTCTATTGGTCTGAGTGGTCTTGGGCGAATAGTCCTTGGTCTGGGTTGTGTGGTTACTTGTATAGTTGCATTTTACTACATATGCTTACATTCGTATTTCGTGTAGCATATAGCAGATCATGACTCATGCTGGCATTACACAATGGGTTCTTTGGGTTGAATTCCTAATTGTTTTCAAATTTGAGTGAAGTCTGTGTCATTACAGACCCGGGACTGTACAGCGCAGTGGACGCTTACGGCTAGCCCCGGGATCCATTCACTTTTTTTTTTTTTTGAATTGTCTGTATGTTTGTGTTTTCCTGAGTATGATGTCCTGTCCGTGTATTTGTTTTTGTGTAAATTTTGTGTGGTGCAGTCCCCCTGCACTTACTATTAGGAGAACATCTTCATCAGCTTGCATTTGCAAGAAAATGGGGAAAATGTTAAGATATGATCCGATCCCCTTAACAAATTAACCAGACCTATTATTTTATTCTCTTTCTCTTTTTATTTGCTGCTTGTTTCTAAACATCACTTTCTTCAACAATTTTGGAATCGTGATAATGTTTCATACACAGTTTTGTTAACGTTGGTAACATGGAATGTGAGAAGTAGTAGCCTCTACAATACCCCAGTGAGAGTTTTGTCTGGAGTTCTTTGTCCAGCAAATCGGCATTTGTCTCCGGCACAAGCCTGCCATTTCCATCTAATTTGATCCACTGGTTAGCACATACCTTTAATATTTCCCAGCTTGTCTCAGTGAACGGTTTTAGCTCAGTGTTTTTAACAAAATGTACACGAAGTATGCAGTTTTACTTTAGCTATCCTTCCGCCATGTACCGTTAATAACAAAACGTAAACAAAGAGCAGGTGACCTTTCACCACACGACCTGTTGAACTTTTCGTCGTGTATGTTTGATTGGCCAATTATGTCACGTGATCTGTTTAAACCGAGTCACCGCGAAATTCAAATACAATTGCAAATTGACAAGTAAGCCCATATTTAATTTATATTTTCTATCAAACGTCAAAGAATTGATAAAAGAAAAGTTGTCTGACAATACAAAGTAATACTAGAAGAATTAGATGATGTAGTTTTTTTTTCACCTGAAAATGGTCGGGACGGAGAAACAGAAGCAAGCTAGCTAGAAATTTCACACCACGGCCTATTGGGTTATAAACTTACATTTCAAGTTTCATCAAAATCGGATAAAAATTGTGACCTCTAGAGTGTCCACAAGCTAAAAATGCAATTTTTCGTACAATTACGGGCCACAATCCATGTCATAATCCATGATGTTACTATCCAATACATGCCAATATGGAAAGGAACCGAGATCTTAGGGAGATAAAGCTATATTTGAAGTTTCGTTGAAATCGGATAAAAACTGTGACCTGTAGGGTGTCCACAAACAAATTGCGGACGGACAGACAAACAGGGGCGACGACAATATACGTCCACATGAAAATGTGGGCGTATAAAAACTTAAAGTGAAGCGAATGTTTTACAACCCAGTGCCACACAAAAGGAACGTAACTGTGTTTGATAATTTTAATGCGTAACATGGACTGATTTACGACTTGTAAGATTGAGACTAGAGTAATTAATGTACTAAAAATAGACACTCCATCAAGTCGATCGAAAGAAGCCATCGAACGACACGATTTCAAGTTTAATAATAGCAGATTCACAAAATAACATACTCTAAAATTTATTCGCCAAAATTTTCGCCAGTATCATCACTTTATTCGCCAATAAAAAGAATTGTCGTCATTGGCGAATGTCTAGGGCGGTGACTGAACCAGGGGTCATAATCCATGAAGTTATGGTCCGCTACATGCCAATATCGAAAGGAACCGAAATCTTTGGGAGATAGACCTATATTTCAAGTTTCGTCAAAATTGGATAAAAATTGTGACCTGTAGAGTGTCCACAAACAAATTGTGGACGTCCTGACAGACGGACGGACGTCCTGACAGATAGGGGCGATGACAACATATGTCCACATGAAAATGTGGCCGTATAAAAAGAAGCAAACCTCTTCTACCGATTTTTTGGCATCTTTTTCCATTTCTTCATTGGCAGCTTCTAAAGCCATCTTACGCCTTTGTAAAGAATGTCTTTGTTTGCGTAAAAATTCTTTAGCCTTATTGATGGAATCACTCTCTTTCTGTAGATGATCTCTTACATTCCTGATTGATGTAATATCAAGAATATTTGGTTCAACATATATGCTGATCAATATTTGTAGCATACAGACATTCAGTGACAAAGTAACATAGTTACTAATTTAAACACACAAGTAGTATCATTTATCAGAACTTTAAAATTATAAAATGTAAAATTGTTAAATAAGAGTCTTGAATTTGAAAACATCACATTATCAAATGAACATATATAATACTTACTTATCTACATAGTCTAGAATTGAATCATCATCACCAGAGAAAAGTTCATCATAAACTTCCTTTATCTATATATATATATATATATATATTAACAAAAACATGTGACAGAACTAACTATTACAGCTTTTATTAAATGGAGATTTTATATAAGCTTCCGTATGTTTTCAAATCCATTATATAAGTATTGTATAATAAATTAAAAAAACATTGTTTAAACTAAGGAACAGGATGTTATTATAGCAGAATATACTTACTTCACTTGAAATATGAACTGATTTAGATTTCTTTATATGGACATCTGAAATGAAAAATAAAATATATTGATAAATAGACTAATATGCAAAGGACATCACAATTACTATATTCGTAAACTAGTTAACTGCTTACTGGAATTGAGTAGGCTAGGATAATACAATTGTTGTTACTTTCATGTACTTGGCTTCTATAGAACTAAGTGTGCCGATTCGTGAGTCAATCGCTATCGTCTCTTGAAGACTATTACCCACAAACACTATTTCAAGAAGTTACTTTAATTTAATTTGCAAAATGTTGTGAAGGGTTATTTTTACAGTGGATGATGTATATGCCTATTTACTGAATTATAACTTACCTGGTAATCCATGTGATTCTGTATTTTCATCATCACTGAATAATGAATATGATGCTCTATTTCTAGGTTTAGGCTTAGGTGTTTCACATAAATCATCCATCTTTAATTTACCTGGTGAATCAACTTCATCATCTAATCTATCCTTTATATCTTCAAATTCACCTAATTTCTTCTTTAATTCACTAATAAACATTATCAAAATATAAAATTAATATTGTCAAACTTTATCAATCCAATTACAATTAGATATTCATTTCATTCAATATTTATTTCATTCAAGTTTTAATTTTGTTTAGATCAAAGAGAAAGCAGAGCAGGTTAACTGAACACACACAAGAAGTATGACCTAATTTTAATTTCATTGATGTAAACTCCTGATTATTGTATAATCTTTATATAAAACCTATGGGGTTTGTTATTGATGATCAATCTGCTCAATTTGCACTCACCAAATTGTAGGATAATTTAACAAAATCTACATACTTTAACTTTCTGGAATTCTGATCTTTAGCTATCTTTAACTCTAGTACTTCACTTTCCATATTTCTTTTATCAGATTTAACATATTCTAATTCTTTTCTCTCTGTTCTTATTTCTTCCAACAACTGTTTTCTTTCCTCTCTCATCCTAGCTAATTCATTGGTAGATAATGGTGTAGCTCGGTTAAAGAATGTCTCCTGTGCAAATAAAAACAAAACTCCTTATTATTGATTTAATACACAGTTGCAATGTTTAAGTTCACACACCTTGGGTCCTGAGAAATAATCTGGTATAATGAATTTTTTTAGGCTGAATTCATGAATTCATTTTGTTGATATTTCATCATCAAGCAAGATACCTCGTAGTTGTTTAATTTTACAAACAAATCCAACAGAATACAAGTCACTTTTCTCTAATTAGCTGTGTTCAATAATCTATTTCATATCAATAACTTACATCTTGTTCTTTTCCAAATCTATCCAGATCTTCTGAAAATACCCTCCTTTTGTCAGCTAACAACTTTTCCTAGCAACAGATAAAATATAACATGTAAATAATCAAAGCCATAAAGATATTTTTCATGTGAACACATAGATATAGTAAGCATTTAATAAGTTAAAATTCAATTATGTATACAGATGTATACATAGGCGTACGGACTCAATGACAGTTAGGGGGGCAGAACCTGAAATGCCCGAAAAAATTTCGGGTTTACAGACAGTGGCGCAGGTCTTCCTCAAGAGACGAAGAAGCGGAGCTTACCTTGTATGGACCCCCCCCCCCCCCCCAATGAAAATTTGGAATATTTGACGGCTGCAAACACATTTTCCTTCTATTTCAGCCCATGAACAAAGCAACTTCAAAGTGGTCTAATATAGCCTAATTAAGGTGGCTGACTTGAATTCCAATCAATCGTTTACAGTCCACAGAGACAAGACCGTTGGGAGGAAATTTTGAAAATTTAACTGCCACAAACGCGTTTTCCTGCTGTTCTAGCCTGTGAATACAGCAACTTCAATTTGGTCCAATATAGCCTACCGGGCTCACCGGAATTCCAAACAACCAATCAATCGTCGCAGGGTATGGGGGCCTCACCCTCCTCGACAAAATTTTGAAAATTTAACCACCGCAAATGCGTTTTCTGCTATTCTAGCCCGTGTAAGTAACTCCAATAGTATCCAATGGTTTTGTGACCGAAATCCCATTCTGAATTCCAACCATCCAATCAGACTGTTGCAGCTGCATTCACAAATAATAATCGATGCCCGAAAAATGTTGAACACAGTAGAGTGGCTCCAGACAAATTGTTTTAATCCATAGTTAACTCAGTACAAATTCCTGGTATTCAATTAAAAGAAAAGTAAAATTAGGGTTTTATTAGCGCTCGATGACAGTTAGGGAAGCAAAACTAGAAATGCCTGAAAAAAATTCAGGTTTACAGACTGCGGCACCGGTTTTCTTTGAGAGGCGAAGAAGCGGAGCTGACCTTGTATGGACCCCCCAAGAAAATTTTGGAATATTTGAGGCCGCAAATGTGTTTTTCAGCTATTCCAGCCCGTAAAATTAGTGTATTATTAGATTTCGAGCACTTTATTTGGCCAAGTAGATGACTTTACCCGTCTGCCCGAAAAGTCTGCTAGCCCGAAAGTTAGGAGGGCAGCTGCCCCCCTGGCTCGTACGCCTATGGCCGTATACAGCATATTTTTAATATTAAAATCTTTCCAAGTTCTATAACAAAATAGTACAAACCTGAGCTTCAATATTTTTCACTGATTTTTCTAATAGTAATTTTTTCCTATCTATTTCGTTGGATTTTACTTTAATTTCCTCTTCCTGTATAAACATAATAGAGTGAAATTTAAATATTTGAGTTCTGTAATCAAACAATTAACATAACATGAAAAGTAAAGTATAAAACATTATAAAACATGTACAAAAAATCATATAATTAAATAACTATCATATTATTTAATATATGCAAAAAATATTTTATTTCAATTACCAAAGTATGCAAAATACGTATGTAATTAATGTTTCACTGATTAAAATTTGTGTGCTTTTTACATGTAATACAAACATGTAACTTTAATGTCCGAACATTCTAACATTTTGTGCTACCCAATCTTGCACTTTATTGAAAGATTTTAATATCAAGCTTAGAAGCAGATTGAAAATAACATTACATGATAATATGTCAATTATTTTAATTCTAAACTACTGACCTTTACAAACCCAGCATAAATCATAAGATTTAAAATCCATATCAGATTGAGCAATGATCGATACACATATCTAATGTGATTTCTATAAAACATTTCTCAATCTGTACAAGCTGGTGATGTATAGAAGTGATCACAGATGTGTCACTATCATGTTTCTTGCCTATAAGATCAAACTGTATTTTTTTGTTATTGTTGTTTTAAAGCTTCATTTAATTGATTTTCTCTATAACTGGAAATCTTAATTATAACAATTAAGTTCACAATTTCATTCAAATGTAAATCATCTATCTTGTAAGATTACTAATTTAATTTCAAAAGACATTAAGATATCATTGTGATGTAATTTATTGTTTCAAAGTATTTGAGGTCACGTCAGCTATCCAAGAAATTTTAGACAGTAAACTTACACTGGAGATATGGTATTGTTTAGAACAGGGTTTTTGGCGCTGGAAAGTATGCGTATAGTTTACTTCCAAAACATTGTTCGATAATTGATAAAAATCGTTTAAGAATTACAAAAATAGTTTAGTTAGTACTATGGCTTAGTTTAATGGTAACAGATTTAGTTTCTCCGAGAGGCGTCCATTTGTTCACTTATCTACGGTGTTTACTTATTAGACGAGCCGTTCACTTTCCCGAGATATGTTGAAAGTCAACACACGGTTTACTTATCTACGCCGTTTACTTATAAGATGAGACATTGATACACATTGATTTGGGTTGTTGGATATGTGACATATATGACTAATTTCTACGTGCTGTCATTGGGCAAATCATGGGTCAATCACGTAGATTAACTTATTAAGTTTAGAATCACTCTTATTGGATTGATACATATCCCGACAGAGGAAAAGCAATGACTTCTGTTCAGGATTGGATTGATGAATTGTCCGATAAAGGATTAAGGCAGATTAACTAGTTAATCAAGGTAGGTGTATAGGCGGTATAACACGATAAATACGTTGATCACTACATTACCTAATCAATCCAGTGTATAATCAATGATAATCGGGTTGAGTGATAGTGATACACTCAGTAAACTATATTAATTTTGGAATTTTGAATATTATTCACCATGTCTTGATGTCTGATTGGGCATATTCCCGGTCGGACAATTTTGGGCGTTTGGAAAATAGCGTCGGACAAATCTGGAATATACGGGTGAAATCCCATCCCTGGACCACATGTACAGATGGAAGACTAGTTAATTCATTTGTGATTTAAAAAAGATACATTACCTGGGATGTGATTTACCGATTTCCAATTGTATAATTACCTGGGACGTGATTTACCAATTTTTGATGTATTTGTCAATGGTGGAATACTAATTTTATAGGATAATGGATAATAAATAATACTACGACCACGGTATGGGTGTGCATTTTTTATATTAACCTTTTTTATTCGTACTTCATATGTAAATAATCGTAATCAAAATGAACCGATCAGATAAACGGCTCCCAGGAAATTAAAAGGTTTATCTAATAGTTCAACTCCGTAGATAAATTAACCGTGTATTGATTTTTCAACGTATCTTGGGAAAGTAAACGGCTCGTCTAATAAGTAAAGGCCGTAGATAAGTAAACCGTGTGTTGATTTTTCAACGTATCTCGGGAAAGTAAATGGCTCGTCTAATAAGTAAACACTGTAGATAAGTGAATGGGTCGTCCATTTATAAATGTCTCTCGGAGAAACTAAACTCGTTACCATTAAACTAAGTCATAGTACTAACTAAACCATTTTTGTAATTCTTAAACGATTTTTATCAATTATCGAACGATGTTTTGAAAGTAAACTATATGCATACTTTCCAGCGCCAAAAAACCTGTTCTAAATGATACCATATCTCCACTGTTATTACCTCATCTTCAAATTGTTCTTGTAAATTTTCTTTTTTTCTGGCATAGACTTTCCTTATATCTTCTATCTCTCTTGCATGTTGTTTTTCTAGTTTTTTACGTTCTGTATCCAGAGTAGATAGTAGTTTCTGTTTCTCTTTTTTAATCTGTAAAAACACAAATATAAAATAATAGTTATCACTGAATGTTTTTAAGTAATTTAAGTAATCACTTTCTATGGATAATTATTACTGAATTAATATAAACATGTGACAAAACAAGAGATCTGAAAACAATCTTTATAATCTGTTTTTCAATATAAATATATAGCAATGGGTTTGTTTTGGCGAGTAATCAATATATTCAATGATATAGTAGAAGGCTGTGGTGGAGTGAAAAGTGACCTAAAATCTGTATTGATTCAGCAGCTGACTTAATATTTCATGATACAGTTCGTAATCTAAATTTGACAAAATCCAATACAAACATACATTACAACTTGGACATCGTGTAGTTGTGCTGTTTTAGCGGGAGTTCCTGAATTTAATGTTTAGTTTCAAACCATTGTAGGAAAATTGTTCAAATTCCTTGAGAATCATCAAAAAATATTGGATTCCTACTGTTGCGTAGTTTAAAATGGTTGATCTATTTTGAGATACAACTGTTTACTTACTAGCAGTGTTGAGTAATTAACAGACTAATTAATTGTAGCGATATAAACTGTGTAAACTTGAATGACATTTAGAAGTAGAGGTATAATATACATAATAACACAACTTTATGGATTTACTAACAGGTTTAACCCCTCAGCTTCTGGTTAAACCTGTTAACTCATGAAAGCTGTGCTATAAATATAACTTAACTACACAAATAGTTAGGTTTGTGTCTTTAAGCTTATCTTCTTAATAATATGGTAATATAACTAATTTTAATATATTAGGTATAATTAATTAGGTTGATCCCAATCCCCTCCTTCCTTATCACCATAATAAGCTAACCACTTATAACAAGTATATATCCCCATGCATCATCATTCACCATTCCTTTATCATATCACTTTTAAAATGATAAATTATAGTTCCACTGATAAATAGCTCTAAAATGTATGGAATGAGTTATTATGTTAAGTAAGTTAATGGAATGCTGAGGCGCTCCTTTAATATTTATCAGTGGAACTATAACTTATTACTTATCAGTACAACTATAATTTATTATTTATCAGTAAAACTATAATTTATTATTTATCAGTGGAACTATAATTTATTATTCATCAGTTATATACTGAGTGCCATGGAAAACGCATCACTTAGTTTTTCGTATAATAAAATGATCCTGTAAACATATCTTATTTATTTTGCTTCTTAATGTGAACAATATTCAAATGGGAACACATCAATAACAACACATTTGTACACTTACGGATGTTTAATCTGTAATCAACGGTACATTTTGCTTCTTAATGTGAACAATATTCAAATGGGAACACATCAATAACAACACATTTGTACACTTATGGATGTTTAATCTGTAATCAACGGTACAAAGTCAGAGGGGTCAAAATCAAAAGTATGACACAGATGTCAGCGCGCATAGGCGTACGAGCCAGGGGGCAGGGGGGGCAGCTGCCCCCTTAACTTTCAGGAAAGCTGACTTTTCGGGTAAAGTGACCAAAAAAATTTATTTCATCTACTTGGCAAAATAAAGTGCCCGAAATCTAATAAAACACTAATTTTACAGGCTGGAATAGCAGGAAACGCGTTTGCGGCTGTAAAATATTCCAAAATTTTCTTGCGGGGTCCATACAAGGTCAGTTCCGCTTCTTCGCCTCTTGAAGAAAACCGGCGCCGATGCCTGTAAACCCGAAATTTTTTCGGGCATTTCTAGTTCTGCTTCCCTTACTGTTATCGAGCCCTAATATAACACTAATTTTACTTTTCTTTTAATTGAATACCAAGAATTTGAAAAGAGTTGACTATGGATTAAAAAATGTTGCCTGGAGTCACTCTACATTGTGTGACATTTTTCAGGCATCGATTATTATTTGTTAATGCAGCTGCAACAGTCTGATTGGATGGTTGGAATTCAGAGTGGGAATTCGGTTACAAAACCATTGGATACTTTTGGAGATTACACGTGCTAGAATAGCAGAAAACGTATTTGCGGTGGTTAAATTTTTAAAAATTTTCTCTGGGAGGGTATACCCCCCGAACCCAGCGACGATTGATTGGTTGTTTGGAATTCTGGTCAGCCAGGTAGGCTATATTGGACCAAATGGAAGTTACTGTATTCACAGGCTGGAATAGCAGGAAAACGCGTTTGTGGCAGTTAAATTTACAAAATTTTCTCCACACAGTCCCATCTTCGTGGACTGTAAACAATTGATTGGAATTCGAGTCAACCACCTGAGGGGGGGGGGGGGTCAAGGTAAGCTCCGCTCTCTTTGCCTCTCAAGGAAGACTGGCGCTCTCTGTAAACCCGAAATTTTTTCGGGCATATCGCGTTCTGCCCCCCTAACTGTCATCGAGCCCATACGCCTATGGTAGAATGTGTGTCCTCCACAGGATCTTACGCACGCTGTGCAGCAACGTCGCATGGAATTTACCAATGTTTGAAAGAAGGCCTGGGGCAAATTGTTCCATTCTTGGACAAGAGCAGCTTCTAAAGCAGCAATGGTGTGCATCTGTGGTCTCCGATACAAACGGCGTCCAATCTTATCCCAGACATGTTCTATCGGTGCCATGTCCAGAGACATGGCTAGCCAGTCCAAGACATTGATGCTGTTAGCAGCCAGGTAGTCCAAACTAAAACGGGCGGTATGCATACATGCATTATCCTGTTGGAAGTGCTGAAGTTGTGGGTGCGCTCGAAACATCGGAACAACAATTGGTTGCAAGACATCATCACGGTAGGCTACAGCATTAACGCGACCCCTGCAAATGTGTAGGGCGGTCTGGTGATAAAATGTGAAGCCTCCCCACACCATTACACTTCCCCCACCCCATCGATTCGTTTCAAAGACGCAGCAGTCTGCAAGACGTTCCCCAAGAGGTCTCCACACACGTTGACGGCAATCAGCGTGATAAAGATGAAAGCGACTCTCATCACTGAAGAGCACACTTTGCCAGTCTACTCTTCTCCATGTCTGGTCTCCTTGAGCCCATATCAAACGCCGCTGACGGTGATAATCCCTGAGGATAGCTTCAACATAAGGTCGTCGTGCACGGAGTCCTACTTCTCTTAGACGACGTCTTACGGTATTGGCACTTACTGGTCCTTGTCTTCCAACGACTGCTGCACCTGTTCGAGTCGCTGGGTGGAATCTGTCACGCAGATGAGTGACCCGGATGTAGCGGTCTTGAGCCTGGGTTGTAACGCGTTGTGGACCAGGACGTTGACGGTCACGTGTTGATCCAGTAACTCGAACACGTTCCACCAACCTCAAAATAGTGGACTGATGACAATTGAAGTGTCTGGCAATAGCACGTGTAGACATCACAGCCCTGGACATTCCCATGGCTTCATTCCGTTGATTTTCAGTAAGTCTCGGCATCTCTAGCTCAATTCCTTCACACTTCCAACAACAAATTACGACAGATTGACGTTTCACAGTTCATGTACTGCACATTAAGTTGAAAACATGCTTTTAAAGTGCTCACACAGAATGCTGCACGTGAATATTGTGTTTTTCATGTGCATCTCGTGCAATTTTTTTTTGTGCAAACGGGCCGATTTTTTTTTGCGTTTGGGAGCATTGTGTGAAACAATAGTTCATAGTATTGCATAATATTATACATACAAAACCACCTAGTAGTAAAATATTTGGGAAAAAAAAGTGATGCGTTTTCCATGGCGCTCAGTATATTACCATATTATTAAGAAGATAAGCTTAAAGACACAAACCTAATTATTTGTGTAGTGTAGACTTTCGGTCCCCATATTAATCTGTTATAAATAAGACAGATAGTGAAGTCATATTTTAAGGGAAATGGTTGTTGTTATAAGTCTTAATTAATGTTATGTTTTGATTGTTAAATTGTTTTTACTCATGGATGTACTATAAATGTAAGGTTGTTACTCATTGTTGTAAGGTTACAGCATGACATCATGACTTCACTGTCTAAAAAGAACAATTATCTGTGTGCAGTATTCGTCGACCTGACCAAGGCATTTGATTTAGTTTGGGTGAATGGCCTACTTAAAAAAGAAATGGACTAGGGATAACAGGACGAATGTTCCACTGAATCGAGGATTTTCTAAACGATAGGCAAATACAAGTTAATGTATGCCTCTCCATAAGCAATAAATATGAACTGGAAAATGGCACACCCCAGGGTTCTGTTATAAGCCTGACACTTTTCAATATCATGATTAATGACCTTCAGTCTAATAACTACATTAAGAAACTTATTGACGTAGCGGTTTATGCAGACGACAGTTCAATCTGGCATGCAGCAAATAACTATGGTACGGTTAGAATGAGAATGGAGGAAGTTTTAGACAAATTGCCAAAATGGTCTAATGACTGGGGATTTTGGATATCTGAAAGTAAAACCGTAGGTATGCTCTTCTGTAAGAATCATAGGGAAGTGGCATCTATGAAACTAGAATTGAATACCTGAATTGAATTTAAAGATCAGGCAAAGCCTTTAGGGGTGACCTTTGATCGTAAAATGACTTTCATACCACATATTGAAAATGTTGTTAAAAGAGGACAATAAAACCACCCTGCTCATGATCTATAGGTCCATGATAAAATCAATATGTGACGGAAACCAAGCTGATTGGGACCATGGCTGATTGGGACCAAAAGTCAAAGCTGATTGGGACCACATTCCAGGCTGATTGGGACCCCCACTAGGCTGATTCGGACCACACGATAAAAAATACTAGAAACTGAGGTTTTGATATTGAATTAAGTTTAAAGGAGTTTTATCTAGGCTATAGCGGGACTATAATTATGTGCTTTTATGTAGGCATACGTTATTTATGTTTATATTCCATTTTTTTTATGTCACAGTTACTATATTAACAGAGATTATTTCATTAATCCTATTTAAATTATTATACGTTTTATGCAATTTAAAGGAATTGAATCACCACCATATGTCTGTTATATGAAACCAGAAGCTGCCAGGCAGGATACGCCCACATTTTTGAGAGATGGATA